CCCACATGCTAGTCTTTTGCCACAGTAGGGCTGTTGCTCAGTTCCCAGCCTGCCACATTCTTCTTTTCAAGACCGGGTTCAGACATTCCCCGACTCCCTGTCTCCAAAGTGGCCTCTTCTAAATCTGCTGACCATATGGAAGAAAAAACAGAATAGAGGTCACCAGAGAGAATAAATAATGGGTGCCAATGGGAGAAGAAAGCCCAACGTTCCACAGCACTAGGTTAACTAGAGTATTTAAAAGAAAAGAAAAGAAACAACAAAGCCAGTAGAGGGTCTGGAGAGGTGGCTCAGCAGTTAAGAGCACTTTCTGTTCATTAGAGGACCAAGGTCCTATCTCAGCACCCAAATGGCAGGGTACAACCACCTGTTTCAAGGGCACCAACACCCTCTTCTGTCTATACAGGCTCTTGCACAGAAACTTACCCAGACATACATGCATACTCACATAAAAATAATTTTAAAATAGTCACAGGAAAGGAGTGAAGATTCCCAACAAAGAGAAATAAAAATATTTGGGAAATTGGAATGTCAATTATTTTGATTTGATCATTATATACTGTATATACATGTACACACACACACACTCCAGAAATAAAAATATTACACATTAATTAAAAAATACAACAAATTATTATTGTAAGAAAACAAAGAGGAGGGGCTGGAGAGATAGCTCAGCAGTTAAGAGCACTGACCAGAGGACCTGGGTTCAAATCCCATGACCACATGGCAGCTCACAACTGTCTGTACCTCCAAGACCCGACACTCTCACATAGACATATATGCAGGCAAAACACCAAAACACATAAAATAAAGGAAAAAGAAAATTAAAAAGAAAAGAAGAAGATAAGCACTTTCTCAAAGATAGGAGAACCAGAAGACTTTGAAAAACTGCATATATTAGTTTTAATTTCCCTAACCTTGCTGTTTATTCTGAGCCTTAGGACATATTCGTTCCATGGAAGAAATTATACTTTTTTACATCTAAAAAATAAAAGTTTTCTTGAAATACAAATGGCAGAGTGGCAGCAGCAGGAAACTAACAGGGCACCAGCTCTGAGCTGCCTTGCTCACGCTTCCCTGGGCTATGCAAGACATATTTGGCAACTAGAATTCTACTGAGTCATGATGGACTGGGCTTTTTCCCTTGGTTTTTGTTTTTTTTTTTTTTTTTTTTTTTTTTTTTTTTTTTTTTTTTTTTTTTTGTTCTTGTTGTTTAACTGAGTATACAACATAATGGGTTTCATTGTGGCACTTCTTTTTTTTTTCGGGTTTCTATGAATCCCAGCTTAGCCTGGAACTGAGGCAATATTCTATACAGTCTTCCTACTTAAATTATCCTTCATGTCCCCTTTAAAAATCTACAAACTAAAACTTTGGAAGAATAAAACAAAATAATAATAACGTAGTCTTGGCAAGTTCTGTTCACCCTATTTCTTCACTTGCAGCAGCTCTCTGGATCTACAAGGCACTAGCAAATGACCTTTTGCCTGTCTACTCCCATACCCCTATCCAAGCCCAAATTCTGAGCACCATGGGATCAGAGACCGATTCATTTCTCCCCACAAATGGTAACATAGTGTCTGGCAACAATGGGAATGCTACTATGGATATTTCAGGAATGAGTGAATGCACACCAAGCTACAGCCTGTCTCTGCTATTATCAAGCTATATAAAACTGCCATTCACCTTCCACAGCCTCCCATGACCTCACCTATGAAATGGGTTTTGATTGGCTCATTAAAAATCTTTACATATTGTAGGAAGAAAAATAAAAAGGTACTGACTTATGACTTAAATGTCCAATTTTAAATGGATATTTTGGGGTTTTTTTTATTATTGCTGTTGTTCTTTTGTGTGTGTGTGTGTGTGTGTGTGTGTGTGTGTGTGTGTGTGTGTGTGTTTTGTTTGTTTGTTGCTGTCCCTTTCTGTATAGCTCTGGCTGTCCTGAAACTTGCTTTGTACACCAGCCTGGCATCAAACTCAGAGATGGCCTGCTTGTGCCTACTGGGATCAAAAGTGAGCACCACCTCACCTGGCTTATCAGTGGGTTTTTAAAAAGCTATTGAGGAGGCTGGAGTAACTGCTCACTGGTTAGGATCACTTGCTGCTCTCCCACAGGACTCAAGTTCAGTCCTCAGGACACACATCAGGTGGCTCACAAACACCTATAACTCCAGCTCCAAGGATCCAATGCCTCTTCTCACTTCCGTGAGCACTGAGCATGTGTACACACACACACCCACACACGCAATCTTAGAAGTTATGGTATTTAGGTCTTAAGCTGGAAACTTAAAGAAAAATATTCTATGGACTTAATAATTAAAAATGATAAGTGGGAAATTTACACATCTTTTTGTCTCATACACATTAAACAAATGGGTATACTGACTGCAAATATAGAAATATACACAAAGAACAGAGAAATGTGAAAAGACTGATGCAATCTGAGGAAAGAATTTCTTTCCTCTTTTCTCCCACTGTGGGGAAAACATTAGTGTAAAAACAATCCCAAGTAAATAAATGCTTTTAAAAGAGTATATAAGGGAAAGAGCTTTAGAAATATTGTATTCTAAAAGTCTGGACACATGCACTTAAGATAGAAATCCACCACGTAGCTGAGCTATATTAACGAAGGTATATGTTAAATCTATTTGTTTCACCTCCAGCACCAACAAGTCTTATTGTTCATATCATGCTGTAAGGAAAATTAGGCTGGTTATTTTATGTCCTAACTTGTTCCCTAAAATGTCATCTTCTACACCCAGAATGTGTGTGTGAAATCTGAGGCACTTAGGAAGCAGAAACAGGGAAAGAAAACTCCATACCAGCCTTGGCAACATGGCAGCAACTCCTCAGGGACAACAACTTGGAGGTATTGGGGGTGAAGATTCTTAAATGTCCCCACTTTTAAGAAGCCTTTCCTGTCTAAAATTGCTAGCCATTTGTTTTCCTACCTAGCTGTCCTGCCTAGTAGTCTCAGGTCACACGTTATCTTTAGTAGATGACAAATTTTTATTATTGTTTTTTCCACTAATAGAACAATTTAAGGATCATTTTCTGCTTTGTTCTCCTCTAGAACTCCACTGTACACCAGAGCAATGGCAGAGTAGACAGCAGCATCTTACAGATGAACAGCTGACTGCATGACAGCATCTCAGAATGTGATTCTCAAGGTCTTTCCATCTTCTTATATCATTCACTGGACACAACTCTATACCACACAGTAGCTAAGTGGGGAAGAAGGCAGAGTTAGGCTGGTAAGCAGGGAACTAGGGAATGAGGGCAAGACAGCATCTGCCTGCAGAATCCTTGAAAATATACACACTGCATGTTTGTGTCCCTTTCTGCTTGTTAGGAACTATGAGGATACTGGCTTTTTGCTTTGCATCATGGGAACAGACACCAAAAGGCAAGCTGCATGATGAACTGAGCCTGGTCCGAGGCATGTTTTAAAGCAAAGGAGCTCCAAAGCTCTACAGCTATATGACAAAGGAAGCTTAAAACTAATTAGAAAAACTGTGAGAAGTAAAATAACCATTGAGTTTAGATGGATTATTATGTGTTTTACTCCCATTCTGAATGAAATATCTCCCAACATATTTAGGTGGATTTATTAATAAACAACTACTGTCAGAAAGATGACACTGTAAATAATTTAAAACTAGCTGAAAAGAGCAATGTTGACTTTACATTGTAAAAGCTCTTTACAAAGAGCTTGGTCAGCCAGCCAACAGGGCTTCTATGAGGAAGTAACTTAAAATGCAGCTGAGTGAGGAAGGAAAGAAATATTCTCCACTATTAGCTTTGAGACTTTAACCCCATGAAACAATGACCAGCAAAGCTCAGCAAGTAAAGGCACTTGCTCATAGGCCTAATGACATGAGTTCAATCCTTAATTCCCACAAGGTGGCAGGAGAGAACCAGATCTGGAAAGTTGTTCTCTGATCTCTGCACCATGGCATGAGGTCTGCACACAGGCGTGCATGCGTATACACACAGACACAGACACAGACACACACACACACACTCTCTAAATAAAGATAATCACATACAGCAAACAATCACAAAGGTGAAACACCACACACGTAAAGGAAGAAAACAGTGAAACTATCTGAACAACATTCCCTTAAGAAATTCACATGAGGCAGATAAACTCATTCTCTCTAAAGACTTAATTTTGCATGTGTGTGCATGTGTGTGTGTGTGTGTGTGTGTGTGCGCGCGCGCGCGTGCTGTGAACAGAACTCAGGCGCTCTAGAACAGCAGCAAGTACTCTTAATCAATGACTTATTCTCCAGCCCCCAAAGAACTCACTTTAAACTGCATCTGACTACAGATTCTAAGTGGGGCTCAGAGCTTGGATTCATAGGAGTATAATAGTGTTTCTGAAACTCTCTGGGCAAGAAAACTTTTCCTTTTCTATTATTTATTGCAAAAGCCACTTAGAAGGCTTCTCTTTTTTAATTGGCCTAGGCCTGGCTGCCTAGAATAGAAACTGCAAATTCATTTGTAAGAAGACAAAAACAGCATGAAGAAAAATCTGCCCAAGTTACATGACTCAATTTTCTCAATAGCAATAACCAATACCTCAAACCGACTAAGTCAAGAATAACAAACTCAGAAGGCAAACCATGTTTTCTGTCCTTAAACATCCAGACCTCATACTTTCCCTGGTCCAGACTGTAGAAAACTCTTCCCAGGAGTCTTCATCTAAAACCCTAGGAGCTGACGGACTCACCTGTCATCTCCATGACAACTGCGGCAGTCGAACCTGGGCTTCTGAAGCTCCTGGGAATGACACAAGGATTCCACACCCATTCCTCCCAGCCATACCTAGCCATTTGTATCTTTTATAACTGGGCCCTACCTCACTTTTAGAACACATAGAGGACTGAATTCTGGCGACGGTAGGTCATGCCACTCAGATTCTTCAGTGAGAATATGAAGAGAGTTCATCACTTTTAAAGAATTCCAGCACATTTTGGCCAAGTGCTCACCTTTGAGTACTTCTGCAGCTCCTCGTCATCTGCAATCTGTGTGTCCAAAGTGGCTACCTAGAGTTACAAGGAAAACATTTCCATTTTGTATGAGCATAACTTTAGTTCCTCCTTTGTTTTCTGAAATTTATCAGCAAACCCAGCATATTGAGGTCTAATCTGAAAAATGTCTACCCAGTATTTTTGAAATTCATAAATATAGTACAGACCGACATATTTGCTTTATTGCCATCTTTACACTAATTTCTTCATCCTATATCATCCTACATCAGAAGTTGGACTGAAGGTGATATGTAAACTGACGTCACACCCTCCCTCTGCAGGAGCTCTATTTTATTAAGAACTGACAGATGCAAGTCATCAATAAAGTACTTTTCCTTGCAAGGAATTCCATTTCCATGGATATCTATCAATAAAACTCAAACTAATGTTTGAACAACACACATGTATCTTTTGGTATTGAGGAGTTGCTCAAGTTTTCATGAAGGTGTACTATGTCTATACACTGACATTAGCTCTAACTTACTTATGATACCTAATACAAGGAAAATGCTACATAAACATATTTCAATATATTGTTTAAGAATGATGACATGAAAACAAGAGTTTGTACCTGTTCAGTTCTGATGAAACATTTTACCCGAATGTTTAAACCATGGTGAGAATACGGAATCTATAAACATGGAGCCAACAGATGTAATGTTCTAACTATACCAATTTAAAATTCTATGATACCTCAAATTTTAATAAAATCCTCATTACATTGGGTCAATAAAAATTGTACCCTTGGACCATCAAGCTGGCTCAGCAGGGATCTGGAGAGATGACTCAGCAGTTAAAAGCATGGCTGCTTTTCCAGAGGACCTGGGTTTGATTCCCAGACCCCCATGGTGGCTCACGACCACTGGTAACCCTGGTTCCAAAGAATATGGCATTATCTTCTGGTCACTGTGAGCACCAAGCACACAGGTGATACACATCCATCAACACTCACTCAGGCATTTACACAGAAAATAAAAGTATTTTATAAAATGGCTCATTAGGGAAAAGCTCTTACTGTATAAGCCTAATGAGCTGACTGTGATCTTTAAAACAAATGCAAAGTGGAAGAAAGCAGACTCCTGAAAGCTGTCCTCTGATCTCCACATGTACACCAGGCCACATTCACTCCCATACTCATACACATAATATATATAATATAATATAATATAATATAATATAATACAATATAATATAATATAATATAATATAAAATTATATAAAATATATTATATAATTATATAATATATAATATAATAATATATATTATATATATATTTTTTAATGTTTTACTCTTGACAAAACTAAGAGCATTGCCGTTTTAAAATTTCAAATTGAGGTCTTAAACTGTCAGTCATGGAGACACACCACAAGGAAATGGTGGCAGGAGGATCAGGAGTTGAAGGCTAGCCTCAGCTATAGAGTTTTAGGCTAACTGGAACTACATATGACCCCTCTTCCTCATAAAACAAACACACAGATCAGTAGGACTGGAGAAAGAGTAATAAGGAACAGTGGACTGAGTGCATTCAGTCACTCATCTGCCTTTCCAAGCTTCCCCCTTGTTTCCCTATAACTTTAAAAGAAATCATTGTAAAGATCCAATGTAAAATTCTCTCTCCCATTTTCAGACTCAACTTCAACATATGATACACAAAGATCTGATATTCAGAGAATACAACTTTTACACACACACATGTACACATGCCCATCGCAGGGCTTTTTTCTCCAATATAGCACAGTTAGTAAAAAGCTTGGCTAGCATGCAGAATGCCTTGAGTCTGAGCTATCATAAACCAGGTATGATAGTTCACGTCTGTAATCCCACAACTGGGGAGGTGAAAGCAAGAAGATCACAAGTTCAAGGTCATCCTTAGCTACATATCAAGTTTGAGACCAGCTTAGGCTACATGAGACCCTGTTTCAAAAGGTAAAAGTAAAAATCCCATGATAAAACTAGTGAACACATACTCTCTGAGTACATACCACTGAGGGGAAAGAAGCGTGACTATCTAGGTAGCAGCAGAGAGCTCTCTGAAAGGGATTCCCCACAATTACAAGAACTAACAAGCTGGCCCAGGATGACCAAGAAAGCAACCACGTTCTTAATGGCACTAAAGCTTCTCTAGTGATAGTGCCCGACATTCAGACTCAGAAATAAAGTGTCCGGCATTAATGGCAACCCATTATTAGTGATCATATACAGAAGAATATGTGTCAGAGCTACATACTAGGACCCTGTCTCAAAGAACACAATGTGGAAGACAACAGCTGTTGTATGCCATGTCTGATGAACATCGATGAAATTTCTCTAACGCAGCTTTCTGCTTTCGTGCGGACTCACTTGAGGAAATATACCAATCCTTTACTGGCCAAGTGTAATAACAGGTGAAAGGAAGCCTCATGGCCTGCTGGCACTGCAAACTCATGCCTCACCTAAATTACTTCCTGTTCTGCTAAATACAGTCCATAATCATTCTTTCATTTTTCTCATAAAACTGTAAGATTCTTTGTGAAACATAGGACTAATATCCACAGCCTTTCAGTGTACAATAAAACAAACAGATCATAAAAGCAATCATAAAGATGCCAGCCGTTTTAAGCAGCTGACTCAAGTTATAAATTTACAGGCAGGCTCTCACCTCCTAATGTTCTTCAGCCTATTGTTGACATAAATGGCTTCAACATGAACTGAGCGTCTGTTAATTGTAACTGAAGCCTGTGTACAGTCCTTAATTGTTCTTATGGCTTAAAATGCTTTAAAAATTGATAGATTGCTCTAAGAGGAAAGAAAGACCGGAAGAAAACAGTAAAGGTAGCTGCGCCTTCTTTGACTCTCTAACGTCATTTTAAATTAGAGTTAGGAGCATAACATGAAATAAAACTTTCTATTAAAATATATGTTTAAAACATACCATTACTTCATAATCTGGGCCCAGTAGGTTTTCCCATCTGGATTTCAGCTCATTTTCTGTAGAGTCTGGGACTTTCTCTGGATATACATCTATAAGAAAAAGAATGTTGAAGCTACTGTGAGCCAAACATACTTAACTAATAAATTATTCAATAACAGCTCAGTTTCGGTAAGTAAAGGGGAAATGAGTAAAAAGGAAAATGTATTAATTTAAATCTACCTGGTAATGTAAATCAAACTGACTTATGAGACTAATGCAAAATGTGAAGCTACCTGTGGTTAAATCATGAAGGGGCTTTTGTTCAGGAATACTTTCGAGGGAAGAGGAAGTGATGAATTACAAGTGAAATCTGAATATATAGTTTCTATGCAGATATCCTATGTATCTGGCTTAGTTTTATTTGTAGGTCTTATACACACATGATTTAAAGTGGTACCTCTTCTACCTCTCCAGTGGTAACATACATGCATATGTAGCGATCATTACCACCAACAAGACACAGTGAAACAACATAGCCAGGCTTCCACAAGCCAGGATGGACAGACAGGCTGACCAGCAAAAACCTGCGCTTTATTGCTAGAAACTTCATTTTACACCAGCCTCTTGTTACTGCTTAATTACTAAGATATTTGTATCTTTTCAATGCTCTTGACTTAATGGTGCCATTATTGCACAGGTGAGATCACTTTAAAGGCTAAGACAGATATAAAGTGCCAGGCCTTTCTTCCATATAATCTTCTCTAGACTCTGAGAGTAGCTAGCAGTCTGAAGAATGCCTGAGTGATAAAAGTCTAAGTACTAAAGCTATCATTTGCACTCATATCCATACTAATAGCAGAGGATGAAAAGGTTCCACGTTTTTTAAGTTTCTCATTTCTGCTGTAAGAGTGGACATGTCACAGAACACTTATCACAAGTGACACAGCCATCTGCCTACAGTCAAATGTAAATGCAGCATCAGCTCTTTCATCTTCAGCACGCTCACTCTAGCTGCATAGAATGCTTAATTGCATACTACAAATCATTAAGTTAAATAGGCTAACTTCAGAATCAGAGACTAAGACTAATGAACACTAAAGAACTTAAATTACTACACTTACAAAAGAACACCCAGGAAATAACGATATTAACTGATGTGCTAGATTACATCTGGGAGCAGCTAATCAAAGATCCTATTAAACAAGTACCAAAATCATTTGGGTGGCATGCACTCCTGTGAACATTTTCTTCAGGAAGTACCATTTTCTTACCAATTTCTTTTTTTTTTTGTTTTTAATTTATCAATGCTTGAGGTGAGGGGCTGGAGGAGGGGGTCTGTAAGCCGCAGCACACATGTGGATCTCGGAGGTCAACTTCTGCGGTGCTGTCTTCTCCTTCCACCTTACAGGGGTTCTGGGAATTAGCTTTGGGTTTTCAGGTCTACTGAAAGTGCCTTTAGCATTGCACCCTTTACCAAACTCTTTAAAAAGTTTCAACAGTTTGCTAGTCAGTGTCTTCCAGGTGTACTTCGTATCTGCTTAATGACTCTGAACAAAATCCCCAACGTGTTGAGAGAATTCTAAGCTTACAAACATGAAAGGTGCACTCAAGTAAGAGAAAAGGCTGAAAAAGAGAAAATGGTTCACAATTCCCTCAGGGCTGTTTGTACCTTTCAGGTACACAACACAAACACAGACAACTGTGCATTTTAAAGCATAGCTCAAAGGACTATGAGCCAGAGGTCAATCCATTGGCAGCAACTCAAAAAAAAAAAAAAATCAAATATAAAAACAAAAACAAACAAACAAATCAAAAAACCTGCACGAAAGGATGAAGCAGGAGAGTAACAAGACTGTCTTCATCATGCAGGTGAGACAGTCTACCGTCACAGCAGCCACAACAGGTGGACATACTTGCAAGCCAAGGTTATGATACATATGCATAAAGAAAAGTGTACAGAGAAATGTATTTTAAAAACATGAGTACAATGCTGGTGTAGTGGCGTACCTATTTAATCCCAGCACTCGGAAGGTAGCAGAAGGCAGATCTCTGAGTTCAAAGCCAGCCTAGTCTGCAGAGCAAGTTTCAGGCCAGCATAGTGAGACCTTATGTTTAAAAAACAATAATAATAAAGAAAAGAAGGAAGGAAAAGAAAAAAGGAAAAAAAAAAAAAAGCATGGGTCCAAAATAGGGAAAGTGAAGACAGGAGCACTGTGAATTCTAGGCTACCTGAGCTATACAGAAACACCTTTTCTCAAAAACAAACAAAACAACGACAACAGTAATGAGACAACATATTTCTAAAACTATTTCTAATTTCAAGTTTACTTGGTTTTCACCTGGTAGTTTTTTTATATTTATCTGAGCTCAACTAAACTAAAAGAGTAACAATTAATTGCACTCTAGTTGGATCCAAAGAGGGTGGGAAGCTCCTAAATCTTTATCTTGAGTGAGACATTAATATGTTCCTTCGGCTACCTTTCCTAACATATATTCTCTGAACCCGGACTGTGTTAAATAGTTTAGGAAGTTTCACTTAGCTGGCAAAGCTTTCCTGAGTACCTCTGCAGAAGGAACCAAGCTGTAACTCAGAATGCTTGCAAAAGGGAGTCCTGACGATAGATGAAGTCAAAGTACAGTGTACAAGGACAAAGTTGGAAACAATTCAAAACTTTAAAATACACAGCAGCCTAGGCATTTGACGCAACATATGAAAAATTTATGTTATTAAATTTTATGAAGAGGAAACACACACACTAGTAGACAGCCAATGATGATGATAAAATATTTAGATATAGATACAATTATAACACACAAGTAAGAATGCACAGTAATTAAAATGCTGCATAGTTATTACACACTAATAGATATGCATTTGAAGCACAATTAAACAAAAACACATCTGGTGTTCAACTACCAAAAGTTAACATTATGTTAAGATTATATTTACAACACCCCATTTTATTAAAAATCGGGGATTGGGGTGTGAGGTTGGTGGTAATAGCAGAGACTGAACCTGGGGCCTCATACATGCAAGGCAAGCACTCTACCACGGTGGTACAGCCCTAGTAAAATAGTCAACCTTCAGTCGCAAAGATGTCTCTCCAGCAGGAGTCTCCATCAGAAAGAAACTACTTTTATTCGGGTCTTTGTTTGCTAGCTGGCTATCAGAATATTCATAGCTTTACAAAGTTCTTGGTATAATATTGCCTTTATTGCTTAGGTCTGAGTCTGATATTAACTGTAGAGAAGAAATGGTTAATAAACAAACAGGCTGAAGTGTTCCACAGTAAAGGCTTTGAGCCTACCTGGTTTTTCTAAGGCTTGTACGGTGTCCTTTTTCAGATTATCCAGTCTTTCTCCAATTTCTTCTGCTTCCATACCCAAATTAGTTTCTGTTTTCAGGGGTTCCGTTAGTGCTGGTACTTCAGGTGGTTCCTCAACAGTTCCTAAAATAAGAATTGCTGGCTTACATCACTCGTCCTATAGAGGAGGGAGTTCACATTCAAGTGAGTTTATTTCACTCCATTCACCCTTTCTAGGACCTTGACTCAGGTGATTCCTTTATATTAAAGTGTTCCAAGAGGTAAATAGTCTGATAGTATTCAAAGAATGAGGAAGTATAGAGAATGAGATCGAAAAGCAAGGTTAAGCAATGACAAGCCGGGGATAGTTAATTTTACAACATACCTTTAGGGAAAAGAAAAAGCGAAAAAGGAACCAACAGCGAAAAGACTGTACATTCTTGCTGTTGTGGATAGGTATAAAGCAACATATGTAACTAGGGCAGACCAGCCATCAAGCACCCATGAACAGCCTCGGAAGCAACCTCAGAGACTACGGCGGGAGACCTCACCTGCATGCAGGCAGCGGCTCCCCTCCATTACCTCAGCTGAGGCAAGTCAAGTTAAGCAGAGTTACTAGCAAGTCACTAAGTATCTCTTAAACAGAAGTAAAGCTGCACAAGTGATACTTTAAGAGATGTTCATTAAAAAAAAAAATCCCTCATTTTAAAAGAATTGTCTCAATTTTAGTGTTCTTCTTTTTTAATGTTTACACGTGTGTTGGCTTCCTGAAGAAATACTACAGCAAGTGTAGGCCTGCTCACTGCACAGGACAGGACAGGGTGTCAGATCCCTCAGAACTAGAGTCATGAATGGTCATGAGCCATCATGTGGGTACTCAAAGCAAATCTGGAAAAAAAAAATTTTGTTTTTGTTTTACTATTTTTCGAGGCAGGGCTTCTCTGTGTAGCCTTGGCTGTCCTGGACTTGCTTTGTAAACCAGGCTGGCCTCACACTCACAGTGATCTGCCTGCCTCTGCCTCCCTGAGTACTAAGACTAACAGTGTGTACCACCACATCTGGCTAAGAATTTCTATTAAAAGTACAAGGCCACAAGGAAATAATGAAATTCAGGTTGTGGTATTTTAGTGCCAAAAACTAATCCCTTCAGAAAAAAAGAGAAAAACACAAAGCATGGGATATGTGTTCTAGGGAGAATGCTAAGGGAGGGGTCAGAAAAAGTAGGAAGAGAAAATACAAGAGACATTTTAGACTAACTGGGAAGTGTATGTGTGTGTGTGTCTGTATGATAATGCGTGCGTGCATGATATGTGTCTGCTGGTGCGCATGTACATAGAGACCAGAGGAGGACTTCAAGCATCCTGCTGTACAGCTCTCCACCTTATTCTGCCAGAGCGAGGCTGGCAGTCAGGAAAGCCCAGCACCCCTCCTGTCTCCACCTCACAGTCCTGGCCTCGTAGGTCCATGTGCAGCGGACTCAGCTTTTTGCAGGAATTCTGGCCATTGGAATCAGGTCTTCATACTTGCATAGAAAGCATTCTTACCCTCTTACTCACAGAGCAATCTCCCTGGCACCACCAAATGGGAAATCTCAAATATATTAAAAGTAATGGATATTAGATATTACTGTTACTCCTCTTGGTTATAACATTATGATTATTTAATAAAACATCCTTACTTTCATGACACCTATACCACTCTAACATGGCTCAGAAGAAATATGAGAGGATGGCAACTGTCAGATCTAAGTAAAGGTGAGTGGGTGTCTGTTCTGTTTGGTTCCTTTTTCTGTATGCTTAAAATGTTTTAACAACAAAGAGCTCAAGCATACAACCAATTAAACTCCTATGACTGTAACACGAGACTTTAAAACCACTCACATAGTGTTTCTTAGATCATTAATCAACTAATGCCACAAATAAATGCATACGTAGTACTAGGATAAGAAATGACAATCACTAATTGAAGTATTATTTATTTATAATAACCAAGAGGAGGATGCACATACAGAAACAATAATTATTGATTCTTTAAAAGGAAAATTTAATCAATTCTTAGAATATGGATGAGTGTGGAGAACACTATGTGAAGTAAAATTAGCTCAGGAGAGGACAAATACTGCAAGGCTTTGTCCATTTGCATTTTCTGCATAATCAAACTAAAACAGCAAAATGACAGCTGCCAGCGATGGGAGAGTAAAGTTAGTGACAAGACGTTTCAATCAGAAGATCAGAAGTTCCACACTAAACAATAACTGTGATGGGTTTTTAAGACAAAGTCTCACGAGGTAGCCCTTGCTGGTATGTAGACCAGGCTAGCCTTACACTCAGTGAAATCCACCTGATTTTGAGTGCTACGATCAAAGGCATGACCCACATACAATGTGAAGATTAATCAGAGTGGATTATCGATTAACTTGATGGGATTTGGAACCACTAAAAAAGCAATCTCTGGCTGGGCGGTGATGGTGCACACCTTTAACTCCAGCACTAGGGAAGCAGAGGCAGCCTGGTCTACACACCTACAGGGTAAGTTTCAGGGCAGCCAGGGCTACACAGATAAACTCCTGTCTCAAAAAGTAAGTTTCTGGTCATTCATCTAGTATGACTGAGCATAAGCCCATTCCATCTAAGGAGGCCCAGAACTGAACAAAAGGAAAAAGCAAATGGAGCAACAGCACCATCAGCCTCTTTGTTAACTAGTGATGCACATGAGTAGCTAGTCTTTCCCTCCCACGCCCTACCTTCTCGGCGGCCAGATGAGCAGTGCCCTGTAAACTCTAAGCCAGAGTTGGCCCTTCCTTCCTTTCTTAAATTGTTTTCTTGGTGTGTATTTGGTCACAGGAATAAGAAAAGCAACTAATATAATATCTTTTGTTTAGATTTATGTTGGTATAATGTTACCCTTGTTCATTCAAATGCTGATTTTTCTACCCCATTATCTGATTTCAATCCAGACACTGCATTGTGGTATTTATTCTAAGCATCACCTGTCTCAAATTTGTGTAAACATACCACCATTTGTTCTCTGTATTTTCAATAAAACAACCAGCCAGTGCTGTGCAATGGAAAGAATAGGGTGGGATACCCTGGTCCAGAGGGGAGGAGTCAGAGAGCAGAGATCAGCAGGAGAGGACTTGGAACTATGAGGAGAGATGAACCAGACTGAAGATATGACTAAAAGCAAGTATAATGTGGGAAATCTGAATGGGAGTAAACTGTGTAGGCTTGGAGGTTTAGGATGGAGTAACTATTGCCCAGCATTGTGCTCTAGGTTAATTAAACACATCCTAGTCTCTATGTGGTGATTTGAGTATGCAGGAGGTTTAGGAATAACCGCTGTTTAACTAAAAGATAAATCAATAATAAATATTGTTTGTGTGTATGGGCACCACAGGCATGTCTGGTGCCTGGAAAGGTCAGAAAAGAGCATTTTGATCCCTTGAAACTTGAGTTTGTTTGTTTGTTTGTTTGTGTCCCCCTTTTTTTTAAATGCAGCACGTCCTCACTACTTAACCCTGACTGGTCTGAAACTTGTTGTGTAGACCAGGAAGGACTTGGACTCACAGAGATTTACCTAGCTCTGTCTCCTGAGTGTTGACATGTATTATCACACCTGGTGAAACTGGAGTTAACTCTAGTTCCTTTTTTAATATCAATCTGAGGAGCTGGAGAGATGGCACAGCAGATTAAAGCACTGACTACTCTTCCAGAGAACCTGAATTCCATTTCCAGCTCCCATAGGGCAGCTTAAAACTGTCTGTAACTCCACTTCCAAGCCGTGTGATTGCCTCTTCTGGCCTTGACAGGCCCCAGGCACACAGGGGGTGTACAGATGTACACATGCAAACAAAAACACTTATATAAACAAAATAATAAGAATTTTAAAACTGTAACATGTCAATCAGCACTCCTGAGAAAGCAGAGGAACACAGCCATGTACCATCAGAGCTTTATTAGCACAGGACAGTGTGACTATATGCCATGAAGACCCAAATAGTGGACAGCAAGATGGCTCAGCCAGTAAAGGCACTTGCTGCCAACATTGATGGCCTTTGTTCAATCCCCAGAGTCCATATGATAAAGAGGGAAAACTGTCTCCCAAGAGATGTCCTCTGATATCCACAAAACTCAGTGTTTCTCCACAATGAAGATTTGCTTTTATAACCTTACTGAGAACATAATAAAAATGTTCTTGATAAAAATTTCTATTTTCTTTTCTTTTCTCACCATACTTCAAAGGCAAATCAAAGAGACAAGTAGAGTAAAACACATCATTAAAAGCAATCTGGGATCCAAGGCTTAAGAAATGTCAAGGTATAAGACACATGAGGGGCCCTGGATCAAAAACAGTGCTCACTGTCTTCATTTAGAGGCATTCCGGGCTCACAGCCAGTGGGCGCTTCCTGCCATTTGGGCTAGTGCACTGCAGCACACAGCTGACTCGCCTCCCACTACTGTATTACACAACACAAGTGACCTTCCTATTCAGCCTCCCAGACCAACCTCCATACCCTGGCAGTTCTTCAGACCAAACTCCAAGAAGAGAGGGATGGGAGCATTGACTACCTCTGCTTGGTGGCTGTTCAAATGGAGAAGCAGATGAAGACGTTTTCCTGCGGACCAGAGTTAGGTGCACCACCTGCCCCGCATTCCGTAATACTTCAACAACATCCTGATTGGCAAAACCCTGTATATTCACACCGTCTACCTAGATGTCAAGAGACAGAACAGGGTTGCAAGTAAATGAGCACCATTCTTGTTTTTCTGAAACAGGGTTTCACTATGTAGTGCAGAGAGGCCAACTCAGTAGGTAGCCCCAGAGGGCCTCCGATTCAGTGTTTCTCATGCCTCAGCCTCCTGAGTGCTGGGATTAGAGGGGTGAGCCATCCATCGTGCCTGCCAGCTAATTTTTAATTCTGGCAGTGCTAAATAAAATTTTGTAGCTAATTTTACCCCCAAATACTGAATATTAGACCAGAAAGTAGTTTTGAATAAAAATTTAAAAACTAGTTTTGCTAACAAACACATGCAAATTAGAAAATAAATTCAATTTTAATCTTAGGTCACACATTTTAATTAGGATGACAGAGGAAAGGGCTTTAATCTCTAAAGATAGTCAAAACTTTAAAAAGCTATAAAATCTGGTTAAATTGTTAAACATAGTTCTCAAAATATACCAAAACTTCATTGACAGCACTGAAGAGTTATTCCTGTGTGGTATTACTACGTGGTATGTTCCAGAGAAACATCCTGATCTCCCACCACTGGCTCTTCTAGTGCTCTAAAAATGTATATGCAAGAAGCCTGGTGGGCCAGACCACTGCTTAAATTTCCTCTTACCTTCTCAAAGCATGCACCACTTCTACTGGCTCCAGACACTACCCATCATCAAAACACATTCCCAAAAGGTGTTCCTGAAAGGTGCTTCCTGAGACGGACTCTAATCATACACCCAACATCTGGCCTTGTGTAAGTCGGTGTGTGACGTGTGTAAAGTGGACAGACAACAACGCATGTAGATATAGATTTACTGATAAAAGGAGGGGACTAATTTTAGCTAGCAAAAGGTAATGTTCTCAAATATATAAAGTATTTCGATTTTTGGTGGACTCAAATTATTCTAAGTTTTAAAAAAAGCAGCAAAAAAGACTACTAAATAGATTCTTCACTGTGAGTAAAATGGGTAAATGCAGAGGATCTTACATATTTAAAGCCTAAAATTATTTAAGAGTCTTAATCAAATTATTAAGAGTCTGATTTCACTAAACTAATAAAGTTAATTTTTTAAAACCTTTTGAACTGGGCATAGTAAAACACAGCTTTAATCCCGACACTTGAGGTAGAAGCAGGTAGATCTCTGAGTTCAAGGACAGCCTGGTCTACATACTGAGTTCTAGGTGAGCCAAGGCTACACAGTGAGACCCTGTCTCTACATAAATAAATAAGTAGAAGCTAAAAACAAAGAAAGACTATAAAATTAAAGTAAGCCACCTTCTTGCCTGCATATGCTGGAACACTCTCCAACTTGACTGAAATGTACAATAAAGTCATTACTTACAGCCACTATTTTATCATTCACTCGGATTTCGCCATTGTGGTGCGCGGCGCTGTCTGGAATTATACTTTTCACATAAATCCCTGACGCTTCCCCTGAAGGTGCACAGAAAGAACGCTAAATTTAGGACTTGATTGCAAAATTCTTATTAGGAGGTTAATTAGCTAAAGAGGCTGACTAGAGACTTCATAAATACTATTTTGAACACAGGCAGGGAAATTGATGGATTATTTCAAACTGTCACCATCACAAGTGACCTGAATTAAAAGTGATTTGACTGATGTCTACCCTTCTGGAAAAAAAATAATCAGTAATAAAACTTTGATGACTATCTCTAAGCTGGGATTCTGGAGGGCCAGGATGAACCCTGGCCTATCTCTCCTCACACTGCTGACTCAGCTCAAGCTCTCATCATTTTTCACTAGCATCATGACAAGTCACACGGATCCCTGCCTATATTTAGCTCAGTGCGCGTGCATGTCATCCAGATACAAAGAACAACACATGTGGTCTTCTCGAAAAGGTAGAATGGGGGCCACAAGATGGCCTGGCCATCTGAGTTCAATTTCAGGATCACACGTAAAGGTGGGAAGAACCAGCTACACAAAAGGCCCTCTGCCCTCTACATAAGCCAGCACACACTCCACACACATAATAATTTTAGAAACCAGAATAAGCTCAGCACCGTGACACAATCTTTATACTGTAAAATTAAGTATTTAATCACAAATAGCAACAAAAATGATAACCATATAGAAAGCACATTCCCAAGAAAAAGAACTACAAGGGGAATTGAGACATTTAAAAACTACCTCTTAATGATTTTATGCAAACTTCACTGGATCACATGCCAGCTCTTCATAACAAGAACATAACTTATTTTTCAACATCATCTTCCATGTCATTCCTTCTACAGGGCCTGCCACCCACAAGACACGGCTCCACATGCCACCTGACTCTTCAGTCTCTCACTGGCTTCGCCCCTATCTAATCCTCCTTTCTCATTACCAGCTCAAGTGCTTCTTTTTGATTTTCCTGTCAACTTCAATCTCCCATCAACCATGCTAGGACAGCTGCTTGCCTCTCTACTAAAACATGCATTTTCAGTTATCTTTAAACATTTAAGTGGTTCTTACACTTTAACTACACTCCCTGAATAGACATTCTTGTTTGTTTTGGTTTCTAAGATGCAGTTTCTCTGTGTTACCCAGGATGGCCTCAGACTTTTGAGTTCCCATGACCTTCCACCGCAGCTGCTGAAGTGACAGATCACAGAAGCATGCTACCACTCCCAACCAAACCCCAGCAGCACAAACAAAACCCAACAATAAAGGCAACAAAGTACAAGTTATTCTTATACATGTTTTTAAAAGCTGCTGACATTTCAAATGTCTCATTTGTTGACTCATTTGCTCAGCTTCCCCAAAACAGCCAAGCCCACACAGATTCTGAGAGTAAGTAAAAAGATTCTTTCCTGCACACAAACATTAATTTTTCTCTCATTCACTACTCTCTGCCTAGGCACTGAAGTGTGATTTTAGGAACTCAGCCACGACTTCATTAACAAGAGAGAAGATAAGGATGATGAATCAATATGTTTTGTGCAGCATTATTTTTTATATCCATAGTCTTTAAGAGACTTATTTAAATTCTGAACCTAAGAAGAGGTGGCACGTAGAAGAATCAGGAGTTTTGAAACTAGACATTCCATTAGGCTAACCTGACATCAGTGTTGTTCAGGCCTGTAAGGACATTAGCACTCTCAAGCTCTCCACCTGCTCCAAGTATGCATGATGACAATTTTTAACAGAATTAATTCTCTATATTTTCTATTAAAAAAAAACCTAAAATACTGTAAATAAACTTTCATGTAGCTACCAAATCCTTTTGAAAGGTTTATTTTTCATTTAACCTAGCAATTCTTTAATAACCAAGGGAAAACCAATGGTGAAAGTTACTGCTAACTTTCAGGTAGCATTTGAAAAAAAAGTTTATTCAGATACTTTGAATCATGTATTCTCATACCACAGTCCCCTTATATAAAAGTGTATATATATATATATATATATATATATATATATATATATATATATATATATATGTAGTTCTAATGAAATACTTGTTCTATCTCACTTTTTTCACGATTAAACACAGAAATAATATATTTTTGGGTATTCACAATATACAACATTTGCTATGATCAATTCACTTTCCTGGATAATACGTTAACTGTCACAATATTCAATTCAAAACAGAACTATTTTACCAGCAGAGCAAAGTGAAGCCCAAATGTTACAAAACGGACTGGACATGAAATTCCTTGTTACTGACTATAAAGCCAGCCTTTAAACCACTGAGACGAAATGTGACTCTAATCGCTTAAAAGTAACTGCTTACCATTATAGATTCATCGTTTTAGTGTGAGTTTTAAATTAAAATCTGCAGATACTTAATTTTATTATATAGAAACCTTAACATCCTTTATAATAATCCCAAATGTGAAGTTGAAATAATTCATTTACCTGGAGTAGCTGTTCCAACATACCCAACAATTCTAATCCCAAGACTCTGTCCATCTTTTTTAACAAGTTCAACATTGTAAGTTTCAAAAAGAGAACTGTCCTGTAGGGAGATAATACACACACTGTTACATTTTTAGTTGTATAACCATATAGACAGTTATTCTGTGCAGCTAGCGTGCCATGTTTCTGTGACAAACTGAATTTTAATATGGTTTCCATGATTCCCAATCCTTTACCTACCTGTGTGCTTGTAAAATTACATGACTGACAGAGAGGAGATCATTCAAGTGAGCCTAAACTAATCACAGAATCCTATTAAAAGCTGAGTTTTTTTCTCCACTAGTAACCGAAAGGGGAAAAAAGATTTTAACATACGAGATCAACCTGTCATTTGAAGGAGGAGGGGTCATACAGGAAAGATGGGAACAATGGGACCCTAAGGGCCTGAAAGATGTCTGGTTGAGGACCAAACAGAAAGGACATTGAGCCCACAGCAAAGAACTGCATTCCTGCACCAACCTCAATGGGTTCAGGAGTCCAGACTTCATGAACAGAACCCAGATGAACATCTTCGCTTACCCTCATAAGAATCTAAGCAGAAAGACAACCCAGCACACCCTGACCTCTGACCTACAGAAATGCAAACTAACCAAGGTACTGTTTCAAAGCTAAATATGTAACAACTTATAACAGTAGAAAGTTAATCCAGCCATTTAGAAAAATCCCAGGCTTTATTTTCTGAAAGAATCATAAGAGGAACAAAAGAGTTAGATACTAAGAGGAAGGCTAGTTATTCTATACAATATTTTGAAAAGAGGTTCTGAAGCTTTTTACTATTTATCTTCTAAATATTTCTTCAAAGGAATAAGGTATCTACACACTAATGCTGCTTTCAATTCTAAGCTGCAGCATCAGAAACTAAGCAATACAGTCAGGTCCCCACACAGCACAGAGCCTCGTGGCCCTTCACTGGATGAGAAGACTTCAGTTACTTAGAGTAACATAGGGAACACAAATCAGCTGTCCCTCCAACCTACAGAAATTAAAGTAACTTCTAATATCATAGATAGAAAACTCCTGTTTGTATGGTCCCCAGTAGGGACAGGTAAATAACTTTCCTGAAGACCTACGTGATGCCTCTGAAGATGCCTCTGTTAGCTTTCCATTTGTTACTCTTTCTGCCTCTTCATGTTTTATTCATGTGGAGCAGTAGGCAGGGGGTGGGATTCAGTCAGCCAAGCAACTGCCATGCAAGTGTGAGGAACAAAGTTTAGAACTCTAGGACCAGACGTTAAAAGCTAGGCATGGTAGCACATACCAGTAATCTCAACACTGGGGAGACAATCCCACAGCAATCCCAGGGACTTGCTGGCTACCCAGTCTAATTGAAACGGCAAGCTCTCAACTCTGTGAGAGAGTCTGTCTCAAAACTAAGGTAGAGAGAAATGAGGAACAAATGAGGTCTGGCTTCAAGGCACAAGTGTGTCCATGTACTTGCATATGTGCATATTTGTATGCACACACACACCACCAAAAACAAAGAGAAACAAACAAGGTTAATATTCATCTCATATTCGTCCTCTGCTTTGCATATGGACAGTGAAGCGCGACTTATACTAGTGTGGTCCTCCAGCTGAGGGTATTTCTCATCTTGCACTGTGTCAGAGGCAGCACTGATGTAGGAAGAATGGCTTCTATACTCACGGAAGCAAGGGTCCCGCTGGCTACAGTAGGGAGGGCAACAGGTAAGGACGCAGGGGTGGGAGGCGTTACTGTAATTTCACCAATAGGGTCTCTAGCCACCAGCATCCTCACTGAATTCCCACAATTCCTTAGCACTTGAGCAACTTGTTCACTGGTCATCCCCTGTACATTTGTACCACCAATCCTCAAGATGTGGTCGCCTGTCTGCAGTCTTCCGTCCTTTAATCAGAGAAAGAAAAGCAAAATTATTAACAGAAATCAACGGTTTTACTTTAACCACTTAATAAAAATATATCAAACTTTTAATTCTGGAAAAATGATTGACAAAACCACTTCAAATACTGGACAAACCTAATATTTCTAATGATCTACTCAGGTGGCAAAAGATAAATTCCTTGTAGAACACAAAACATGGAAGGGCCCAAAGTGAAATAAGGTATCAGAACTCTAAAATGGGCATCTGTTTGAGGGTTTTAATTTGTGTCTAACAGCTTACAGGCAGAGTACAATAACCATAAATGCAAGGAACAGACAAAAAGCTGGGGACTTCCAGAATTAAGTTAGAATGAAAAGTTCCAGCATAAAGCAAAGACTCCCTAAGGCCAAAGTGGCAAGCAGTATGACTGGGGAACAGGAAGTTGTCAGCCTGACTAGCAGAGGCTCTAACAATGACCTCAAGATCAATGGCATGGATGAGGTTACCAGTTTCAAACAGAGAAGGGAGAGCTCCACGTATTTTCTAAGGATTGACTGATAACTTCTACAAGGGTTGTAAAGAAAAGGGAGAAGGGTCAGAAACCCAATATTTTAGCCAAAGCAACTAGAAGAAAATGAATTATCATAAACTGAGGTAAAGTAGCCTAAAGAGGGACAGGTGAGCGGGAATAGAAATCTCGGGGTGAGCCTTGGAATGAACAGTCTGAGGAGCCTATCAACATCAGCTGGATCCACAGGGCTGGAGCTCAGGAGAGAAGTCAAAGCCACACATTTAAATCTGAGCACATAAGCAATATCTCAGAGGTAGTTAACGTCCTGATTCTAGGTGAGTTTAAGGCAAGCATATCTTAAGCTGGGTAATAAGTACATTGTTAGCTATGATTATTCTTCTAAATGTGTACCTTTATGTACGTATATACTGCATCATAGAAAAGTTTAAGATATAATTCATGAAAATATACACCAGCTAGAATTCACAAAGAGTCTTCTCTTTGTGAAAATTCTGAAATAGTTGATCCATCTGTATTTTGCCTAAGTTTGTTTCATTAGAACACCTGAATCCTAAACTGGAAACCCTTAGTACTGCATATTAAAGATACCAAATGTCAGCAATGATGCTCTAAAAATATATATGCAAAGTACCTTACAGGTGAAGACAACTTCTATGGCCAACTATGCTAACATAAAGCCTATGTTCCCAGCATGTGGAGGCAGGAAGACTAAGGCCAGCCTGAACCACATAGAAAATTAAAAATCAGCCTAGACTATACAGTGAGACATCTTCTCAGAAAACCAAAAAGAAAGTGGCACAGGTCTTTAATTCCAGCACTTGGGAAGCAGATATACTAGATCTCTGAGGCTACACAGAGTGACCCTGACACAAAAAAAGAAAAAAAAGAAGAGAGGCAAAAATGAAGGAGGAAAAGAAACAAAATTAATTCAATCTTGTTCAAAAGTAATTTTAAATTTAAAACAAACAAAAAATTTAGGTTTAAAGGGTTGGCTGGCCCAGCATGGTAACACATGCCTTTAATCCTGGCATTCAGGAGACAGAGAGAGGAGGATCTCCTGAGTTTAAGGTCCAGTCTGGTCTACATAGAGAGGTCCAGGCCAGTTCTACACAGTGTGATGAAGGGTCAGAAACCCAAAACTGAAAGGCCTCTCATCTCTCAAAAAAAAAAAAAGAAAGCCTTTCATCTTTTCATGTAGTGCAAGCCTTGTCCCTATGACACGATGGTGAAGGTTCGAGTAAATGGATTTAGCCATATTGGGAGCCTGGTTACTAGTGCTGCCTGGTGATCTGGCAACTGATCTCAACTACATGGTCTACATGTTCCAGTATGACTCAACCTATGGCAAGTTCGATGGCACAGTCAAGGCTGAGAATGGAAAAATTGTCATCAGCAGAAAGACTGTCTCCATCTTCTATCATCTAACATCAGACGGGGCGATGCTGGTGCTGAGTATGTTGTGGAGTCTACTGGTGTCTTTACCACCATGAAGATGGCTGGGGGCCACTTGAAGGGTAGGGTCAAAAGGGTTATTATCTCTGTCCCTTCTGCAGATGCCCCATGTTTGTGATGGGTGTGAACCACAAGAAGGATGACAACTACTCAAGACTGTCAGCAACGCTTACTGCACCACCAACTGCTTAGAGCCCCTGGCCAAGAGCCCCTGGCCAAGGTCATCCACGACAACTTTGGCATCGTGGAAGGACTTATGAACACAGTGCACGCCATCACCGCTCCCCAGAAGACTGTGGATGGTCTCTCTGAAGGCATGATGGCTGTGGGGCTGCCCAGAACATCATCCCTGCATCCTGGTGCTGCCACGGCTGTGGGCAAGGTCATCCCAGAGCTGAACAGGAAACTCACTGGCATGGCATTCCGTGTTCCTACCACCAATGTGTCTGTCATGTATCTGACATGCTGCCTGGAGAAAGCTGCGAAGTATGATGACATCAAGAAGGTGGTGAAGCAGGGCCCACTAAGGAGATCCTGGGCTGCACTGAGGACCTCAATGACAACTTTGTAAAGCTCATTTTCTGGCATGACAATGAATACACGGCTACAGCAACAAGGTGGTGAGCCTCACAGACTACACAGCCTTCAAGGAAAAAGAAGCCTGGACCACCCACCCCAGCAAACACATGAGAGCAAGAGAGAGGCTCTTGGCTGCTGAGGAGTCCCTGTCCCAACTCAACTCCTGACACTGAGCATCACCCTGTTTCCATCCCAGACCCACCCAGAATAATGGGAAGGGGCCAGGTAGCCCTACTCTCTTGAATACCATCAATAAAGTTCACAGTGCCCACAAAAAGGAAGGAAGGAAGGAAGGAAGGAAGGAAGGAAGGAAGGAAGGAAGGAAGGAAGGAAGGAAGGAAGGAGGAAGGAAAGAAAGAAGGAAGGCAGGCTAATCTAACCATGTTCAAAAAGTTAAAGTAGCAATACCAACACTCAATCCAAAACTGGCTTTCTGGCTGTCTGGCTGTAGTGGCACCAGCCTATAATCCCACCACTCAGGAGATAGAGAAAGGAGACTAGGTGTTCAAGGTCAGCATGAGCTACACAGCAAGTAAAGCATCATAGGGCTTACATGAGACCTTTTTAAAATATCTAATTCAAGCTGTCCACAGATGTACAGCAGGTTGCTCTCTAACAACAAAGGACACACAAGACTCTTATTACTTACATTACTTACATATTCACCAAGAGACTGTCTACCACCATCAGAAGATTTTAATAGAGCAAACATGAAAAATCGCAACAAGGAGTGCAAACAGCTTCAGCATGAAGCAGTGAGTGCTGGGAGAATTTGTTCTGGGCTCCATAATCATACTTCCAGGTGGCACCACTTAGAAGTCATGTTGGTAACAGTTTTAAAAGACTCAAGACAAAAAAATCAGTGTGTTGCCTTTCCTATTTTTTCAATGAATGAAAAAAATTTCATTCGTCCTGAATGAAAAAAGAATTTGGATCAAAATACAGCGTACAAAGCTATATGCTGGGCTGTAGATGCTACAGAGGGTGCTAAAAATGGCAGACAAAGGGGTACAGCAGTTCAAGCCATAAGTATCTAAAAAAGGTTAAGAAAAGAAACAAATACAAAGGAAAAAAAAAAACTATTGGAGGAGAACAAAGACTAGTACCTTTCTACTTTAGTAATGATGATTCGATATCCTATTTCTACCTATGCAACATCCCAAGTAGAAGAAACACCAGCTGAAGGGAGATCCAGGGGCCTGGAAGTTGCTGCACAAGCCTTGACAACCTGAACTTAATATCTGAATGTGGTCTAGTGTACCCATAATTCCAGCATTCTTACAGTGAAAGCTCAATCACATAGACAGACAGACAGACAGACAGACACACACACACACACACACACACACACACACACAAATAAATAAATAAATAAGACTTTACAAAGTAACAAATGCAAGTGTTTTTGATGAAAATGAACCAGGCTACCTGGGAGCTAGACCATTGGGAACAGAGTAGGGCCTAGCCAAAATCAGAAAGAATTTTAGCTTGGATAATGAAGAATACTTTACCATCAAGTATATATTTAGTCACTTCTCAGAAACTATTTTTTCCCTATTTTACCTCAACTTTTAATTTAAAATCACATAGATAATTTGCATCTGTCACTGAAAGTCAAACATTTTCTTCTTCCAAAAAAAGCAGGTGTTCTAAGGAATTAATACGTACAAAAATATCCATCAGGCTGATAGGAAATATGCCAAAATGGCAGCTGCCTGGTCTAAGTCCAGCAGCCCCAAACCAGTATTTCACTGATATTTATTTTCTCATTACCATTATCTTTCCATGATGTATGTAAAGACACTCTTGTTCTTCACATCACAAAGCAATGAAAGCCAATAAAGAATTGTCCAACAGCTGGGCACAAAGTATGCTGTGCTATACCTTAAAGTTGTGATCCTCCTGCCTCAGACACTGAATAGTTACACTTCAAAAATAAAAACTAACTTCTGAAAACACTTTAATACATTTGCAATACTTCTGTAGAATAAAATGGCCTAAAGAAGGCTGGCATAATGGCACACACCTTTACTCTCACACTCTGGGGGCAGAGACAGGTGCATCTCTGAGCTCAACAGCAGCCTGGTCTACATAGTGGCTTCCAGGCAAGCCAGTACTACACAGTGAACCCTTGTTTAAAAACACGAAACAAACAAAAAACCCTCTAAAGATGTGCTGGTTGCTATGAATATTAGGAAATATCTGAGGATTACTGAGATAGGCCCTTTTGCTTCCCTTACCTGAATCTATGTATCTCCCTGTCCACAGAATTACCCATCTACATTAACTGGCATATAAGGCAGACATGGTGACTCACATCTATAATACTGGCACTCAGAATGCTGAGACAAACATTTCACCCTGAGTTTAAGGTTAGTCTGGCCTATAAATTAAGTTTCATGGCCATGGCAGCCTGGGCTACAGGGTAGATCCTGTCTAAAAGAAAAGAAAATAAATTTAAGTAAAAATAAATTGCTTTTTAACTAGCTTTGAAAAACACTATAGAGGGGCTATAGAAATGACCCAGCAGTTAAGAGCACTGGCTGTTCTTGCAGAGGACTCAGGCTGGATTCCCAGCGCCCACATGGTGGCCCACAGCTCTCGTCAGCTCTAGTTCCAGGGAGCTGAACGCCCTCTTTTGGCCTCTGCTGGCTATGCATGCAAGAGGGGCACAGATGCAGATGCAGGAGCTGCACCAAAACACATAAAATGAAAATCAACCTGGAAACAATAACCACGTGTTATTTCTATTTTCTTCACTTTCTACGGTTAACAGCAGCTGGACAAGAACAGCTTTGGAATCGGATAATAAATCCATGCTGGTCAGATGCTCACCCTACCTAAATTTTAGATTTAGCAAATGTGAGAATAAATTTACTGCTTGTGCAGTTCTGGGTATTAAACTTATAACTTATATAAACTGATAAGCTCTCTGGCAGAAACTGCTCACTGTGCCCACCGCTTCCTGGGAAGCCCCTTCCCTCTGAGGAAACAGTTTGGTACATGCTGGACAGTGTATGCCTATGTGACCAGTATTAGAGATGCTATCAACCTCCACAAAATACATTTCAAATGTGTTGTTCTCAAGATGATCTCAGATCTCTTTCAGAACCATGAAATTAAAGAAGCTGTTTGACCAGGAGTAATAGTCATGCCATGATTCAAGGCATTATCTGTCTGGCTTCATCTTATCACTCTTTTTTAAAGATTTATTTTATTTGTGTGTGTGTGTAAGAGAGAGAGAGAGAGAGAGTATATGCAAGTACATACAGGTGTGCCAACGAGGCTAGAAGGGGTCATCCAATCTATTGGAGCTGCAATTACAGGCATCTGTGAGTTATCCAATGTGGATAACTGGGATCCAAACTCGGGTCCTCATGATCAAGCAGTAAGTGCTATGCCATCTCTTCAGTACACTACCACCCCGTTTTAAAGCTTTCATGCTATCTTTTTTTCCTTTCAGAGAGGATCTCTGGGATGGTTCACCTTCATGGCCAATTTAACTAAATTTGGAACTAACTAGAAGACACTTCTGGCAATGTCTGTAAGGTGTTTCCAGAGAGCGCTGACTAAGAAAGGAAGGCCCACATTGGATGTAAATGGTACCATCCCATACCTAGGGCCCCGCACTAAATAAAGTGGAAAGTCAGCTAGGCACCTCCATTCCCTGCTCTTTGCTTTCTGCTCTGCCCAGACACAAGGAGTCCCAGCCCCGTGCTCATACCACCATGAACTCTGCCACGCCTTCTTCCGTCATGATGAACCAGGCTCTCTTAAGCCAAGAAACAAAATAAATCCTCCTTCTCTGCAGGTATTTGGTGATAACAATGAGAAACATAACTAATGCACTAGCTTAGGACGTAGGAGTGCTGAGAGGCCATGCTCAAGCATAGGTAACAGAACTGGGTGCTAGATGGTGGTTACAGGTGGAGCATTTACAGGGTTATATGACATTAGCAGAAGTAAGAGGAAGAGCTTCTGTCACTCTCGAGCTGTGCAACCTTGAACACTTAAAAGATTCCATACCTATAATTTGGAAGTAAAATTTAGGACTGTTTTGAGAATTACATTAAAATGATGTATATTAGGCAGATGACAATATTTGGCACAAGCTCCTGCTTCTCCATTACAAATCTGTGATGGGCAGGCTTCTGGCCCCTCCTTGATGATCTGAAACACTGATGATCCCTTCCAGGAAAGGGTGAGAATCAGAATTGGTCTTTTCCCAACAGTGCCTCAATGGGATTAATCTGGGAAACCCTGCACATCAGTGTCCTTGTGAAACTCATAATGCACATTAGTGTATTAAAAAGCTCTGAAAATTCTTACAGTAAAGGAAATGATTTGATTTCATTTAAATTTATTTGATCCTTTGTTTTTTCAAAATAACTGCTACACTTTGTACTTTGCAAATGTCATTCCATCCAGCAAAGAAGCCTGTTAAAATTGCTAGAGGACAGGGGGCAGCGGGCAGAGGGCAAGGGCCAGGGGAGAGAGAAATGTAAGAATATTCACAATATCTAACTCCTTTCTAGGTTACAAAATATAGACGTCTTTAGAGATTTATTTTATTTAGGAGCTGGAAAAATGGTTCAGCAGTTGAGAATGCTTGCTGCATATTCCTAAGGATTGGAGTTCAGATCCCAGCAGCCAATGTAACAAGCCTAATGCCCTGCCAAGCCCCCGGGCTCCAACACCATCTTCTGACTTCCACACTCACACTCACACACTGTGCTTGTGCACACACACAAACACGCAGCTAAGTGTTTAATATTTTTATTTTATGTATATGAGTGTTTTGCCTACATATATGTATGTGTACTACACGCACACCTGGTTCTCCAGAGGCCAGATGAGTATATTGGATTCCCAGTGCTCTTAACAACTGAGCCATCTCTCCAGCATCCATTATGTTTTAAAGACACACACATGATCATCCTCACTGTAGTCACACACGTGTTGTGTGTGGCATATATGTATAGTGTATGTATATGTATATACAGGTGCAGGTGTACACACCTCTGCATGTGTGTGGAGAGCAGAAGAGGATGCTGGGTGTCCTGATCCATCACTCTTTCTTTACCTTCTTACCTTGAGACAGTCTCTCACTAAGCCTGGAGATAGGCTGGCAGCCAGGAAGCCTCAGCAGCCTTCTCATCTCCATTCCCCACAGCAGTTTTAGGCAAAGGAGGCCAGAGCTACCTGGCTTTTTACATGGGTGCTATGGATTTGAATCCAGGTCTTCCTGCTTGCACAGCAAGCCTTCTTACCCACTGAGCCACCTCTCTGGCCCTTAAAGCCCCTTTTATCTTCCAAAGAAAACTTAAAGACAGAGGGATGAGGTAGAAAAAGCTAAAGATGAGGGAAATATTCACTGTCTTTCAGTTGGTTATTTTACATTTTTGAATAACATATTTTAAATACTTTTTTTAGATTTATTTTAGGTTTCTGAGTATTTTGCCTGTATGTATGCATGTGCAATGCATGTGTTTGTGGAGTCAGGAGAGGGTGCTGAATTCCTTAGAACTGAAGCAATAAATGGTTGTGAACCACCTTGTGAGTGCTGGGAGTTAAACTCAGATCCTCTGCAGCAGCGCTCTTAACCATTGAATCTCTCTGACCTGGTCCCCATAATTTTTAATGGCTAATTCACCCAGATGCTTTAAGATAAAAGCATGACTCCTCAGACATGCACTGAAAGGTCAAAGTTCACTGACATTAATCATTTTTTTACTGTACTATACAAAACTTTACTTAAGAGAACCTGACAGCTGTCATGAGCCTGGGCCCCTGCCTTATTCTACACTAACCTCACATGGCTTTTAGTTTCCCTCTGCTTTTGTATGATTAGTGCATACAAATGTGATCTCAGAGACACATGAAAAGCGTTAGTCACCAAGGTGCCCATAGACCAGGCGTTAAGAACTTCTACAAAAAAATTATAGTTGGTACAGAAAGAAAAGAAGGAGGGATGGGACTGAATAATTACAAGAGATTCAGCCATCTAGGTCAAAAATAAGGAACTAAAGGACCTTCTTCCCTCAAAGCTGAAGCTGTACAACAAATTCATCATTATTATTTGTATGTATGTTGGGAAAGATGTGTTTATAAGGAGATATGTAATAATCAGTGAAATTTCGTGTGCTTTCTGATTATACAGTTAGTTCTGAATTATCACGAGCATTCTACACAACATGAGCTCAACCTCAAATTTCAGCAGTAATTTCTAAAATCTACCTATGGGAGGCTGGAGAGATGGCCAGCTCTTCCATGCACAGCTCTTCCAGAGGACCCAAGTCTGGTTCCCAGCACCTACAGAGAAGGCTCCCACTACTTAACTCCAGCGCCTGGGTAGCAGACACTCTTGGCTGGCTTCCGTGGGTACCCCCACATATGTGGCATCCGCAAACAGAGACACATACACACTGATAAATAAGTAACAAATAAAACCAAATATGGTATTTAACATTTCCTCCCATGTGAAATTACGTGGAAAAGAAAGTTGCCGAGCTTTTACATAGCCTGCTTGTTTCTGAAACACAGCTAAACAACAAAGGGTACACACTTGATTTACAATGCCAGAAATAACCAAGGGAAAGCTTACATGTACAATGTTGGGACAAATGGATTTTTGTCTGTTTTAATTTATTATTAATGGGGGAGGGGTGTGTCATAGTACACACATAGAGGTCAGAAGACAGCCTTGTGGAGTCAGTTCTCTCCTTCTCCCTCTACATCAGTTCCAGACTCAAGTCCAGGCTGCCAGGCTTTATATCTTATAGCACCTTTACCTGCTGAGCACTCACCTACCCCAGGACAAATGCATATGCTCACTGAACCTTCTGGTTCTATTACTGAGCCCTTAAAAGATATGCTAAATAACACAATGTTCAAAGTGCAAATATTCATTAACAATTCTTTACAATAAAAATATTTTCTTCTTATGTAACCAAATCACTGCTAATTAGAGGTAAAAAAAAAAAAAAAAACTATTTAAATAAAGCAAATTCATGGTATATGGTGTTGTAAGTTATAAACTTATTGAGTTATAAATTATTGAGTCATGTATCCTAGCAATTCATGATATAAAATTAATTTCAAATCACACAAGTCAAATTTTATAAAAGCAAAATGATAAAACAAAGTTAACTTACCCGGTCTGCCAGTCCTCCAGGAACAATAGTCCTTACAACCACGCCACTTGACTTTCCTCCAACTATCCCAAACCCTAATCCAGAGCCATTGTTAATGAGTTCAACATCTTCAGTGTGGCGCCAGCACACCTACAGAATGGCACGTTAGGAACAGAGTTAGCAAATCACAGTTTTAGGTGTCCCATTCGGTAACATGTAACAGATTAATAAAAATCTGAAAATTCACACAATTAGTTGAGACAACTATCTATAGAGACTAAGATATAGTAAGTAGATAGAAGACAGATGATGCACAAATGGATAGATTGATAGAGCAAGGCAGAGAGCCCCGCCCTGAAGGGTATTATAATTCAATAGAGAAAATAATCGCAAATAACTGAAATACAAGGTAAAATATCACATCATAAAACACTACAATTTGAGGACAAGAAGCATTTCCCCACCTATAACATAGCACAGGATACATAGAAAACCAATGAATATGGATTTGCTGACAACAGGCTTAGTGTTACAAAGATTTCAGGGATGTGGGGGAAAGGATGGTTCATAAAACGTAACTCCAATGAATAATCATGAAAGTTTAATGAAAGCAGAAATTTAAAGTACTAGTGGCACATTCCTGATATCCCAATACTCAGGAGATGGAACCAGGGGTATCAGGAATTCACAGCCAGCCTTTGCTACATAGTAAGTTCAAGGAAAACCTAGACTGCATGAGATCCTGCTCATAAATAAATAAATAGAATAGAAAGAAAAAACATTCAGGCTAGAGGGAAATGCAAGAGCATACCTGGGCCAGACAACAGAATGAGCAAAAGTTAGAAACATCTTATCACCAAATAAGTTATAAATAATAACCAAATTTGCCTCTAGATTAAATAATAATCTTCAATTTAAAAAAAAAAAAGACATTGAAAAGACAGAAACAAAACAAACAAACTCCTCCAACAAATGTCTTGTAGCTGCCACGTGGAGATATGATCACCTCTCTACAATGAAAAGACTTCCAAATGACTACCAACTATTCTTGTAGTGAAAAACAGAATTTAGAATGAAGTATGTCCCCAAGCTTTTGACCCACCGCTTCAGGCAGAGCAGTTTCGGCTGAGCTGGTAGAAGTTCGGCCCTGTGTGTGACCCACTTCCCGGGCCACAACCAGACGCAGAGATCCAGTGGCTTGCTGTAGTAGTGCAATTGCCTGCTGATGGGAGACATTCTGAGCCAATGGGATGTCATTAATGGCCAAAATTTGGTCGTTTTCCTTCAACCTTTGATCCCTAATCATACAAAGAAGAACTTGTTTTAGGTACTGGGATAAGCTGAACACGCACACAGGGCTGGCTACTGTGCCTTTCTATGAATCAGGTGCTCCACTAGCAGATACGCATCTCTTACACCATCCTTCCTCAGGTGTAACACTGCCCTTTTACACTTGCAGTAAAATTAAGCCACTTGAGCAAGACTGCACAGCTGAAAAGAAAAGCAACATCCAGCCTCAGACTACACGAGTTCTTTGACTAATGAGCCTACAATAGACTTTCTGCCCCAGATAACTTGTCTCTGAGGTGCTGGTATTACTTTTGTGGAATGTATTCAGATTCACATACAGGAAACATTCTGGATGACAAGGTGTTAACAGGGTATTTAGGAAGGTTTCTGCTATGGTTTCAATGTCCATGCCCCCTGAGTCCTGTAGAAATTTAATTTCTATTATAAAGTATCAAGAGGTGGGACTTCTAAGGGATGGTCAGGTTAGGCTATAAGGACTTTCCACTCATGGATAAGACTGGTGCCTTCACAAAAGGGAAAGTTTAGTCCCTCACTGCCACGTCCCATCTTGCCTTCCACCATGTGATGAAGGAGCAAGAAACCCAAGCCAGTTGTAGACATCTTGACATTGGACTTCTCAGCTCCGAGAAATGTAAGCCAACGTATCTCTGTTTATCACAAGTTCTGAAAGCTCAGACATTCTTTATAGCAAAATGGATTAAAGCTGAGTCTCACAACCATCTTTAAAGAACTAAGAAGTGCTGAATCTAGAAACACATGCGCGCACCACTGACAGACGGCTCAGTGACTGTGCAGTAGAAGGTCAAGCTGCAAGGAAGACTTGCGCTCACATGATAGATAAGGACATCATGCATCAGACCATCAGCTACACAGCCAGGAAGGACAGCCAGCTACTGTATCAGCCCTTCCCATGATGTTCCAGAACTCTATAGGTAGATGCTGTTTTAGAAAAGTAAGTTGTTCCCAGGAGATGGAAGGAAGGAGTTGGGAGTGACTGTTAATATATAAAATAGGGTAAGAGCTTATTTTCTAGTTGATGAAACTTTCTAGAATTTCTACTATTTCTGGGATAATGGAAATGATTGCAAAGCACCAATGCATTAAACAGCACACATCAAAACAGTAAAGTATATGCTATTTTGATCCTATCCCAGTAGATCTATTATTTTAAATTCATCAGAGACACGAGAAGTAAACATCTATAAGCAGAGACAATAAATCTGAAAACAAAACATTACTGACAGAATTTTGTAACCATACCCTGCCACTATTGCTATTATTCTATGAGGAACATCTGAATAGTGAACACAGGAAATGAGACATAAACCAAAGACTAGAAATTGAAGAGGCAGAGACTTTGTGCAGAACCCTTCAAAAATAACAGCAGGTGCAACATGGACTCGGCAGGGTTAAGGGGCCTCTAAAGAGCAAGCCAGCACCAGCTGCTTTGTTACCTTTTTACTGCTACCTTCTTACTCTCTTCTCGGTAGCATTTCAGAGCTGTCAGGAAAAAGAGAACAAACTTCATCCTCACCTGTCTGCTACACTCCCTGGATGGACTTCTTTCACAAAAATGTCAATTAATCCCAGACTTTGGCTTCTCAGAGCCACCACACTGAATCCAAGGCCTCCAGTTGAAGGGCGCTCTATATCTATATATTCAATGTGTCGGCCCTAAAGAAGGGAAGGCGGTCAGACAGGAAGAAAGAAACCCATGACATGCATTTAAATACCACCTTTCCGCAGAACTGAAAGCACAGGAGCTCCAAGTCAAAGACTGAAACTGCTCAGCCCACAGCTGCTTCTATGTCACTGCCTTCAGTGTAAACATGCTCCGCAGTTTGGTGATATGCTCGTTCGGGGAAACCTTTCAACTTGATTGTTTTCAGCACGGCACTGAGAAGCATTTTACAATTCATCCTCATTATGAGATAGATTCCGAGCAGGACAAAGACAGAAAACAAGCATCCTTTCTCACAGTAAGCTCTCAGGTTACTTTGTACATAAATTTCTTTAAATTCTCCTGATGCAGACACATTTTTAAAAAGGAAAGTAAGTCAAATTTGCAGGAGGCACCTTTGTGTTCAGCCCAGTCAGAACCAGCTGCATACATAGCATTCTGTTATAAGTTCTACAGCAATGAATTAATACTCCGTTTCCTCGGTCATTTCAAAAGCTACAGAGTACAAGGATTGCAAGCTACTTTACCGTTTTATTAGCAACTGCATGTACAATATGCGAGTCTCATAAATATAATCAAATCACAAGTGCATCATGCAGAGCATGAGGCGTTTAACTCCATGAAAAGAGCCAGGATATTTTTCCACTACTGCAACCTGAAACAAATTTTCTTTCTATCTTAAGCCCAAATGTATTTATTTATTTACTTACTTGTTTACTTGCTTATTTTCCTCTCCTTTGGTTTTTTGAGACAGAATTCTCTATGTATTCCCAGCTGTTCTGGAACTCACTATGTAGACCTCACAGAGATCTTCCTGCCTCTGTTTCCCAAGTGCTGGAATTAACACGTGTGTACCTCCAAACCTTTTTTTTTTTTTTTTGAGGACTGACTCCATGTTTAGTTACGTGTATGGGTATAAGTTTGTGAGTAGGTATGTGTACATGAACTGCCTGCTGAGGTCATAAGAGGGCTTGGATCCCTAGAGCTGGAGTTACAGGCAGTTGTACGCTAACGAATATGGGTGCTAGGAACCAAACTCAAGTAAGTCTTCAGCAAGAATTTCTAAATTTTCTTTAAAAACTTCAAAACCTTCAGTTGTCTATCACTTACTTCTTGGTAGGTATTATGAGCTACACTCAAATGTTTGCCTATATGTTCTAAACTATATTCATTATAACTCACAAATTCCACTTTGATATAAAATTAAAACGGAAATTTTCTCATGGTATCCAGTTTTTGTGTATTTTCTTTACTTTTTAGACAGGGCTTCACTATACGCTCAAACTGGACACAAATGAGAGACTGCCCTTCCTCAGCCTGCTGAGTGCTGGGCTGCAGGCTTTCCCTAGCATACCCTACTCTCCTGTGTCTTAATCGCAAGTTCTAACACACAGGTTAGAAGTAGCATCAATTCTTCCTAACAATGTAAAAACACAAGCAAACAAAATACACAGTAACACGTATTCAGGCAAAAAGATTTAAGTATAAAATAGGTCTCCTTTTTAAACTGAAACAGAAGAAAAACTAATAAAGCTAAATACTCCATGACAAGACATGACCATACCTGAGCCATCTGCTGAATGACTAAGTTAAAGTCTTCATTTCCTGACTTTGGAGTCCAAGGTAATAATCCAGATGCAGTTAAATTACTACAAGGTCTGTGAGCATTCCCATTTGTAATGGAACTGTCCGTGAACACTAACAAGCCCTTCCGAGAAAAATCAAAATTGGCTGAACAGTCCGAGGGGATATGGCTGAGCTGTTGGAGAGAAAGATAAAATCATCAGCAGAAATCCACAGAAAATAAACAATTTCTATCTATTACATTATATGTGTAATTTACACACATATTAAAGAAGTAAGGGGCAGGCATGTGACACCTGACTTTAAGACCAGTACTTAGATGCAGATGTGAGTTTGTGAGTTCAAGATCAACTTGGTCTACATTTAGCAAGATACAGGCCAATTAGGGCTACAGAGTGAAACTCTTGTCTCAGCAAAGAAGGAAGAAAGGAAGGAAAGAGGCAAGCAGGGACGGAGGGGAGAAAGAAAAAAGTGAGAGAGGTGTGTGTGTGTGTGTGTGTGTGTGTGTGTGTTGTGTGTGTATGTGTGTGTGGAAAGAGAGAAAGAGATGACTTGGCAGTTATGCTGCTCTTCTAAGTATAGTTCCTAGCACCAATGTCAGGCAGTTAACAACTGCCTATAAGTCCGGCTCCAGCAAATCTGACACTTCTGTCCAAACAACACACACAAAACTGCACTCACGTGCACATAATTAAAACTAAAATAAAACTTTAAGAGGAAGAAAACACATAAGGTACCTAACAACAAATCAGTATGTTCTTATAGCTGGTGCTCTTTAATATTACATAAAATGTTTAAAATCTGTTCTTGATACATCTAAGACACTGGGCCCTTTCGCATTTATCTGTATACCTCCATGAAGGAGGCACAGAAGATCCACAGAGGCCCACACAGCACTCACAGCAACAGAGTTTAATAAGTGTTTCTAAGAGCCAGATTCTGGACTGAGATTCCTGCATGTATGTTACACCATCTCATTGAATCTTTTGTAATAACCCAACTGATGTCATTCATTATCCCACTTGGTGAATTTGAAAACTGAGGCACACAACATCCTTGTATAATATTAATGGGAAGTAAATCACAAGGCCACTTAAACACTCCACAAAAGAACATCCTACCATTACAAGAAGTAGTTTTTGTGAACCACTGGCTGATCAGAGTGCTAACACAGTAGAATAAAAGCAACATTAATAACAAATGTCAAGGAGGCTGGAGAGGTGGCTGGGTAGTTATCACCACTTGTTGCTCTTCCAAAAGACCTGGGTTTAATTCCCAACACACACATAGTGGTTCACAGCCATCTGTAACTCTAGTCTAGGGTATCTAACACCCTCTTCCAGACTCTGCAGCCACCAGGCACAGATAAGGTACACAGATGTATAATATAAGCAAAGCATCCATACACATAAAAAAAAAAAAAGAATAAAGATGAGGACAGTATCTTACATGTACAACAAAGAGCTGTAACCACAGAATTCTTACAATATGGTTGCCTAAACAAGACCTACATAATGACAACGCCAGCTGAAGTACCAGCTGAAGTACCAACATGAACAGGGTAAATCTCAGAGGGCTCCACCCTAGATGAGTTACAGCCAGTTAATGTTGAGGGTGGCGCAGAAGCAGCCACCCTGCCAAGTGGTCATCCCTAAACACATATACATCTGAGCATCACTAAATGAGCTCAGCAGGCTGTATTTCTATACACATGTGTGTATATGAATGCACAGATAACTAAAGGAGAAGACGTCATGGAGTTTAGAGGGAGTAGGAGAGGTTGGAAGGATGAGACTATAAGGTGGAAATGTTATAAACTGGGTGCTTATGTAAGAAATTCTCAAAAAATAAAAAGGGCCTGACAAAGTAGCACAGGTCTTTAATCCCAACACTTTGGAGGTATGGGCAGGTGGACTTCTGTGAGTTCTAGGACAGCCAGGGCTACATAGTAAGATCCTGTCTCAAATAAATGATTAATAATAAAAACTAGTGTTTTTAAAAAAGAATAAATGTCAAACCTACAGTCAACATTCCAACAGGCAGCATTAACTGACTCAGTTAAAAAAAAAAAAAAAGAAAGAAAGAAAGATATGATTAAAGCAGGGAGGGGGAAATACTGGTGTACCTGGTAGAAGAGGGTAAGAGCTAGGAGAAATGTGTTCAATATACACTATTTACTTGTGTGAAACTGTCAAAGAATTAATAAAAGACAGTCTATTATTACACAAACAGCAAGTCCAGGAGAGGCCTCTGATTAACGTGCTTACCATGCACTCTGACGATCTGAGTTCAAATCCCTAGAGCCCATGCAGAAGTGGAAGGTAAGCAACAATCCGTGAGCGTGTCCTCAGGCCTCCACATGTACCCAGACATAAACACATACATACGCCATACCCACACGAAAATCAACTAGTCAATATACTTGTTCGAGAGAGAGAATGAGAGAGAAAGAGAGAGCGAAGGCACAACAGTTGAGGTGATAAAGGCACTCGCAGCCATGCCTGATAGCCTGAGTTGGATCTCTGGGACCCTCATTGGATAGGGAGGGAACCAACTGTACAAGTTGTCATCTGTCCTCCACACCTGCCCGTGTACATACCAAACACACACAGACATGCTCACACAGAATAAAATGTAACAAAATAACCGTAACTAAATAGACAGTAAGTGCCGAGAGCTGAGAGTGGAAAGCAGCAGCAGAGTGCCATCACACATAAGGCCCTGGCTCAATCTCAGCACTGTACAATAAAAAATACAGTAAGTTAGAAGCTACTTTATAGTTTTGAATAAAATGTTGTGATTCTAAAGCACTTGATCTTTGCTTATTTATCACGCTCCAAAGCCCAACATACACTTGATCACCATTTACACCATCCACGAGTGCTGCCCACAGCCTGCAGGCCCCACGCAGCCTTTGCTAAACTAAGAGTTCCAATCCTTCTAGCTCCTCCTATACTCCTCCCCTGGTCTGGATCCATCGGGGAAAGGCCTGCCTAGAAGCTTACCTGTCCTTTCAGCTGCTTGATGGACTGCTGGAGTGTAAGGATCTGGTTGAAGAGAGGGCTCTTCAGGGTCTCGTAAAATGCAGACAGCTTCTCATTCTGTGTCGTGTCACCCTTCTCCTGAAGTTTCATCCTGAGGCGATCAAGGACCTGCAGGACCTGCATTTTCTCTTGGTTGGAGAAAGGTGATAAGAGCTCAAGTTAGACACCGTAGCACAATCCATTCTGAATCAGTAAGTAATTTAACGATAAAAACGGATAACTGTTATACCTGCAGCAGGATTCTCAGGCATTTTGGATTATTCTTTTCAATCACTTTCAAAAAGCCTAAAGGAAAAAAAAAATTAACTTTTGTTATAGATGTCTGCAGTCCTACAGAGGAAACCAAAGCAAACTTCAAGAATGTTCTTTATTAAGACTGACTCAGTGAAATTCAAATTAAAACCACAATAAGACATCAATGCATGTCCACTCAGATGGGGAAAATTAAAAAACACTAGAGTAAAGCAGCTAGAACTACCACATACTGTTAGCAGGGAAATAAAATGACACAATCACTTTGGAAAATCATTGGGTTTTTATATTTGCTAAATTTTTATAGTTTAAATCATAAGTAGTTTCCTTTTTTTTTTTTTTTTTTTTTGCTTCTGTTTTTTGAGGCAGGGTTTCTCTGTGTAGCCCAGGTCATCCTGGAACTCCTTCTATAGATCAGGTTGGCCTTGAACTCACAGAGGTCCGCCTGCCTCTGCCTACTGAGTGTTGGGATTAAAGGCATGTTCTGCCACCGCCCAGCTTCTGAAGTAGTTTCTTACAAAGTTAAAAATATACTCATTATATAATCCATCCCTTCTGCTTATAAATTCATCCAAGAGAAATGAAAATATGACGTGTATGTGAAAATACATAGTATTATTTGTAAAAGGCCCCAACTAGGAATACCGAGATGACCAATCATAAACAAGTGAATAAGCAAATAAATATTATATGTAAATACAGCATTCGGGGGGAAAGCTACTGACACAACTAAAAGGATGAATCCCCAAAATACTATGCCAGGGGTGGGGAGGTAGGGATGTGGCTCAGGTGGTAAACTATGTAACTATTATTATGCAGGACGCCCCATGTTCACCCCACTATCCCACAAAACAGATTAACACTGGGTGGATAACTGTAATCCCAACCCTGGAAGGATGGGACAGAGAGATCAGACATTTGAGGCCACGTTGGGCTACAAGAGGTAAGTATCAACAATAAAATTCTCTTCAGCATTGGTAAAGGTCCAAGCAGTCCATGCAAGTGCTCCCTAGGATGAAAACTCCCCAAAAACCTGTACACAGGGCATCTCAGAAACACCTCCTGTGTACTCAGCATTACGACTGCACAGCTCTCACAACAACTACCAGGCAGCTGTGAAAACAGGGCGGCCAGAAGGGCACCATCCTCTTCTATACCTGCACAGAGCCCCAAACCAGCTTGATGGCCATTAACGTAACTATCAGGAAGATAGGACTGCAAGCTCCCAACTCTAAGGGCCATTTCTATAGCTGAATGTCAACTTGACATGTACTCGCTCATGAGAGAACAACAGAAGGCTGGACTAAGGCAGGTGGGAGGACAAACCTGCACAGCCCTTCAGGAGGACAAATGCAGAGGCGGATATTTAACTCACACTCTCTTCCCAGGATTTCAATTTCTGGGTCTCTGTCTGTTTCTGTCTCTCTATCTGTCTCTCTGTCTCTCTCTCTCTCTCAGCAAAATGATGCACACACGAGTATTTTTTACATACTTTTTCATAGAAAAACTCTTGCAAAAGTCAATGATCTCCAGTCACTGAAATGATAGAGTAAGCTGAAGCTGGAAGGAAGAAACATCACAAGCATATGGCTCTGTCCTTCAGCCTCGGGGGGTTCCCAGACTTTAGGCCTCTTTCTTGACAAACACACTTTGACAGAGTCCTTTATTTTAAAATGTCAGGTACAGTGTCTGTGAATCCATGCACTCATGGGGCACAGCTGGCTGGGAAACAGGAAACAGGCACGTTTGGCTTGCATAAGTAAAAAAAAAAAGCTTATGGAAATAAAGGCTTCCAAGACAGAAAAGTTTTCCTTGAGTTCCAGGCCAGCAAGACCCAATCTGAAATTAAATACAATCAATCAATCAATCAATCAATCAATCAATCAATCAATGAATAAAGTAAGCATGTAAAAACAAATTTAAAAAAGAAAAGAAAGGCTTCCTTTAGAGAAGTATTTCTGTATATACCTCTCAGAAAAAGTATGCCACGTTAAAAAAGGCGTCTCCAAGAGATCAAAAGAAAATTTTTTCAAAAAAAAAATCTTCGTTTAGAAGCACATCGTCGCCACAGTCTAAGACTCGGGCCACGACAGTGGTGTGGATCGGAGCCTTACATACACTAGGCAAGCACTGTACAGTCAGGCTGTATACTCAACCGCATCATATTTCTTATAGCCATAATTATGTGCCAACAGGTCATGTTTCGTTACCATGTGATTAAACTATCTAATTCCACAGGGCAGGCTGTGTGATCAGGACCACAATGAACTATAAGAGGATAAATCTTCTCTAGGTTTGAGAGATTTGCAATTCTACTTGATGCCTCTAATGGTCAGCCAAGTATTTATTCTTTGCATTTCATTATTCTCTCCTGCTCAAGGGAACATATTCCTGGCATCAAAACCATCTGCTTACCAACAAACCACTTGCTATTCAAAATAAATGTGTTCTGAAACTAAATTTTACTTGAGTGGACAAACTAAGGATTTCAGTGATGCTGTAAAATATGCCCTCAGAGGTAGCTTCCTATGGACTCCTCAAAGGACTTCAAGCTTGTGGGCAGTCTTCCATCAAGTGTGGGGAAGTGCTATTTAGCTGCTGGCTAAGGTCCCTCCAGCATGGACAGCTATCTGTGTCTGACTCCGGCTGTACACTTACTGAGCGCGAGCTCAAATCCACATGAGACCTGAGCATGCTGGAAAACATACCCTTTTTGTAAAAACAGGAAAGTTGTGCAGCAATGGGAAAAGCAGAATTAGGGGGAGATTTGTGTTATTTTCATACTTCTGTAAGATTAAAAAAAAAAATGTGTGCATTGGGGAATTCTCTAGGGAAAAAAAAAAAAAACACATTTAGGAAAGAATACTTATTGCTTCCAGAAAACAGGAAAGAGGCATTTAAAAGTGAGCCTTGGAGGACTGAGATTACAACTCATAATTAGAACATATGACCAGCATACATGAGACCTTGGATTCGATCTCCAACACCACAGAAATGTAATAAAACAGATATTAGCCTCTTTACAGAGTTCAGTGTTGATTGAATTTCTATTCAAAAACTATGGGTTAAGAATACGGTTCAGTAGTAGAATTTTTTTCTAGCATGTGTGAGACTCTTAAGTTTTTTTTTTTAAGTTTAATTTTTTTTTGTTATTATTAGTTACATTTTATTAACTCTGTATCCCAGTTGTATCCCCCTCCCTTATTCCCTCCCAATCCCACCCTCCCTCCCTCAGCTTCTCCCTGCCCCTTTCCAAGTCCACGGAATGGGGAGGACCTCCTCCCCTTTTGAGACTCTTAAGTTTTATTCTTCACTACTGCAGTAAAAATAAACAACAGCACTAATTTTATAATTTTTAAAAAGTGGGAAAAGTGCCAGCTGTGGTACACACATTTGTAATCCCAGCACTCAGGAGGCTACAGGAGGATTCAGGTTTGAGGTCAGCCTGGGCTACTGACCCCAACACAAAAAGTGAACAAAAACGACCTGGGCATAGGAAAACATGCATATAATATGCCCAGGACACAGGAGGCTGAGGCAGAAGGACCTTGAGTCTGAAGTCAGTCTAGGCTATAAAACAGACCCAACCTCAACAAATACATATAGGTAAATAAATGTAGTGAAAGTAACAAAAAGATAATAGCTAAGGTGGTCTAAGAGAACAAGATACATAGCAAGATAGCAACAACAGCATCAAACTGCAAGGCAACAGTAGCATTGTTGTGTACCATGTGCTAAGGGAAAGCTTTCATGCAAGCCTGGTGCTGCCAGCACAGAATCCACAAATTAAACATGGCACAGTGTTTAATTAATTAATTAAAATCTAGGGTATGACTTTGTTGGAACAAATATATCTAGGCACACTGATTAACATAAGAGTCTCTATGCATCTACAAGATGCAGATAAAAAGAAAAGGATAGGTTAGACTAGACTTACTACAAGTGTAGACTGCAAATTGATGGTAGGCTAGCAAAGAAATAAGTACCAAGACTGGAAATGAGCAATCACATACCTTCCTATGACATAGCAAGGTATGGCTACCATAATATATACACACACACACATATATATCAAGACCCGTCTCTAAAACAATGATTTTCATAATAATTTCTTGTATCCCCCCCCCACCCACTCCAAAAAAAAAATTCTGCCTCTGAAAGGTTGGTGAGGAGGCACTGTGCTGTTTTAGTAGGTTAAGCAGCAGGCTGGCTTTAAGCCTGGAGTCAGCAGAAAATAGTCAGAGACTTCTAAATCAAAAAGTATTGGATCCAGATTTCTATTTTAAATAGGAATGTATCAGTCAAAGTGTGGTGATGTATGATTAAGAGGACTGCCCTGGGTTTGAATGCAGCCTGGAATACACACTAAGTTCCAGGCTACTCTGGGCTACAGAGACATACATACATAGGCTTACATGTGTGCACATACATAAACACACACATAAATAAATAATATGCTTTAATGCTGTCTGAACTTTCTGAGAATATATTTCCACCACTAAGAATCTGTTGGGCTGGGGTAGAGTGCTTGCTTGGATTTAGAAAGCCCTGTGTTCAAGCCACGCTGTAAATAAATTAAAAACACTGGACACAGATTCAAGGTTTTCTGTTTGCTTTTTAGCAACTGTAAAAATACACTACTAAGGCTGGGGAAAGAGTTCAATGGATAAAAATATGAGGAGAGCAATTGGGTCCCAAGCACCAACACAAAAGTAGTGTAGATGTGAAAGTTCGCTTGTAACACCAGCTCAGGGAGAAGAGACTGGGGATTCCCAGGTTCAGCTGGCTCTAGCCTGCTGGACTAGCAGAATCAGCCAACTCTGGTGCAATGAAAGACCAGGCCTCAGGAAATAAAGTAGAAAGCAAATAAGCGAGACACCTGATGTCAACCTCTGTCTTCCACACGTGTTACACTTGCACATATGTGTACCAACACACATGTACACCACACACACAAGGTAAATTTAAAATTAAAAATATGATACTTTACTAACTGTATTTTAGTGTATATACACAATTCTTTAAATGCATAA